GAGGAGGCAGTTCACTTTTGAAATAACCTGGATCCTCAGTCTAAAATTCTTTTGAAACATCCAACATTTCCTTCACTTAATATTTGAATTGTTTAAATTAGACTTATTTCCCCCCACTCACTGGGTCTGCCCTATTTACCAAATTATCACTACAGAATTTTGAAAGTCTAGGAAATGACCTTAGAGATGGAGTCCTACCCCTTCATTGAATACATAGTTGAAGACAAGGGTCTTAAAACTGTGGCCTATGCAACTTTCTATGAAGTATAATTTTTATTAGCACCACCAGCAAAACCAAGAGAACCCACATTTCCAAATCTAGTGCCTTTCCTGCTTTGCCTTAGGAATGCTAGTGAAGATCTTCTAATTTGTGTGTTTTCTTTAATTTGAGCTTAATTTAATTTTGATCTGGAGGTACGGATCAGTATTTGTATACTGATTGTGTATGTGTATACACAAAGCCCTGAGTTTAATCCCAGTAGTAAAAAAAAGGAAGTGGAACAGCCATCCCTAGGTATCCGAAGGGGATTAGATTAAATATCTTACATAAAATGGCACAGTATTTACATATAATTTATATTCTCCTGTTACTTAAAACCATTTCTAGATTGCTTATAATACCGAAAACAATGTAACTGCTATGCAAATACTTATTATACTGTATTGTTTAGGAAATAGTGACAAGAAAAGTCTGTGTATGTTCAGTACAGATATAATTTTTTCCCTCAGATATTTTCTACCTGACCACCTGTGGTTGGTTGAATCCAATGATCTGTAACCCCATGTTATAAAACCCCACAGGGACTAGTTTTGTATGTATCCTTCTAGAGTTATGCATATAAGCAAAAAGGTCTTTTTTAAAAAATTATTCTTGTCAAATCATAAACATTGTTCTAGAATGTTCTTTAGCCCTCCCGCTATTCCCTAAGCATATACTTAAAAATACGCCTTGTAGATCCTTCTTCCTGGTGGATAGGAGGATTGGTTCTGGAGCCAGATCCCTAGACCTAATGCCTGGCTCCATTGCTTCCTAGTTGTAATCCTATGTTATTTTTCTGTGTCAGTTTCTGTAGTTTAAAAAACACATGGAATGCCAGAAGCAGTGGCGCATACCTGTAATCCCAGCTGCTCCAGAGGCTGAGGCAGGAGGATCTTGAGTTCAAAACTAGCCTTAGCAAAAAGTGAGGCATTAAACAACCCAGTAAGACCCTGTCTCTAAATAAAATACAAAATAGGGCTGGGGATGTGGCTCAGTAGTCCAGTACCCCTGAGTTTAATCCCCAGTACCCAAGTGAAAGAAAAGCAAATGGAAGTAAGATGGGATTATTTTGAGACATGAGCTAAACCTATAAACAATTAGGATAAACCTAACACAGTGAGTGCTCAGTCAATGTTAGCTATTGTAATCATAAAATGTTACCTCTTTTTAGTGACTGTATAAAAAACATGGCATGCATGTTTTAGTTAACTAGCTCCCTATTGATGATTATCTTTTATGATTACAGTGTTGTAATGAATTGTCTCATCCATTCATTTTTTTTAAATCAGAGATTGGGTGTATATTTTCCTGGATTTAAATGTCATTAATATTTTCTGTTCCTTTGAACAGTGTTCAGATCTTTTACTTCTTAAGTTATTGGTAAATTTCTTATTTATTATAGGAGATTTTTTACAAATTACAGAAGTTAGTCCTTTAAAAAATAGAGGAGTTTAAAATATTTTTCGGCCAGGTTCTGTAGCACAAACGCCTGAAATTCTAGTTATTCAGGAGGCTGAGGTAGGACAATTGCAAATTTGATACCAGCCTCAGCAATTTAGTGAGACCCTATCTCAAAATAAAAATAAAGGTCTGGGGATGTAGCTCAGTGGTAAAGTGCCCCCAGTCCATGTACCAAAATACATAAATGATAAATGTTTTTATTCTTTTTCATTGCTTTGTCCCCCATTCGTCCCTTTCCCCTGCCTATGCTAAGGATTGACCCCCAGGCCTCATAGATGCTAAGCAGGCACTCTACATTGGACTACACCCACAAGTGCATTGTTTGTCTTTGAACTTAATTTTTGTTTGTTTGGTCTTTAACCATGTAGAAAATCTGTCATCTTTTATTTGACATCTAATTATTCTATAAAAGCCATGGCTGATTTCACATTTAAACAGGCTTATCTTATTTTGACATTATAAAAAAAAAATTCCCTTATTTTCTTTTAGTACTCTTCTGATTTCGATTTTTACTTTTAAATCTTTGCCCCATTTTTCATTTATTTTGGTGTTAGCTGGAAAATAAAAGCACAGAGTAAGTATATCCTTATCCAGGATATAGTCAGCAACTTAGTTGCATCTCTTCAAGATTCCTTTTTTGAAGTATATGTATAAAAAGTAAGACTCAGCTCTTCAGAAATAACCAAGTTTCTCCTTGATACTTGAGGTTAAGTGCAAATATTTGATTTACTGCTATTGAGAATAGTCTCATTAAAGACAGGGAAAACACCTGTCCCAAGTAAAAAGCCAAGTAAGTATGTTGAAGTAAATCAACCATGCATTGAATTCTCAAGGGTTACTTAGGCGTTCATTCACTTGAAGTAACTTAACTTTAGGATGGATAGATGGATAGTTTTTTGACTTTTATCCTCTTCTATTCCCATTTAGACTACGAGTTATAAAGACTCAGCATCATGTAGAAGCGATTGTAGAGCATCGAAATGGCAAGGTCGTGGTTTCAGCATCCACTCGTGAATGGGCTATTAAAAAGCATCTTTACAGAACCAGAAACGTGGTAGCTTGTGAGAGCATAGGACGAGTGCTGGCAGAGCGGTGCTTAGAGGCAGGAATCAACTTCATGGTCTACCAGCCAACCCCTTGGGAGGCAGCTTCAGACTCGGTATTTTTTTTTTTTTTTTAATTTATTTGTTTGTTCATTTATATGCACTGCTGAAAATTGAACCCAGTGCTTCACATGTGCTTTGCAACTTCTCTATCACTGAGCTAGAATCTTAGCCTCCAGACTTGGTATTTTTGTTTCCATTTGTGTTTACTAAAATAGTATTTTAGGGCTTGGGATGTAGCTCAGAGGTAGAGGGCTTCCCTAGAGTGTGTGAAGCCCTGAGTTTGATTGCCAGCACTGAAAAAAAAATTGTAAGAGGCATTGTATTGATTCTTGATGTTAGGTACTTATATAATAATAGTTTCCAAGTGTTCTCCATTTTGGACCCTGGGGTGAGTATTCTGACATTACCTTATTTAATCCTTACAGCAGTCTAGAGTTAGGGACCAATTATTCCTGTTCTATACACAAATGAACTGAGGTCAGAGTCATTGTTTGGTTGATTTCAGAGTGACTGATTCTCTAGCCCATCATGTCATCATGTTTATGTATTGACATCTTGTGATGTATTTCAGAATGCTGCTGATCCCTGACATTTCTCAATTCCTTTTTTTCTTACCCGTGTCATTCTTAAGATCCTTATCTGAACAACCAGTGTAGGCTGGGAAGTTAGCAAGAGCACATCAGTTGTTATTTCTTTGTCTCTTGGAAAGCACAGTTTATTTTCAGCTTACTGATGAGCTTTATTTTTTCCTTTTTTTTTCCCCCCTGATTTTTAAAACAAGATGAAACGCTTACAAAGTGCCATGACAGAAGGTGGTGTAGTGCTACAGGAACCTCGGAGGATCTATGAGTGAAATAGAAGCATAGAAGTTTTGAACACATAAATATAAAACTATCAGCTTCTACAGCTGTCTAAGAAAGCATCTGGAAGAAAAACGAGCTTGGAAGTTTTGCAACAACGGAGTTCAGTGGAAGATTATTTGTAGTTATGGTCATCCCCCTCCCCTTTTGTGTGTGGTGGTTTTTTTGTTTTAATCAAGGGCTAAATACTCTCTCCTCTTGGAGGTGAGAAGTACAAAGCAGACACCAGTTAACTTTTGAAGGACAAATTAAAAATTGCTTGTAAGTTACCAAATAAAGGCATATGAGAACTATTGTTTTCTGGTTATATGAAGTTTCTTGCCTGTGAGCTCACTATTTTAAGGGTAACATCTGATGTTTGTGTAAAGCACTTATTACTACATCGGCTCATGATGAATGATCCCAGTGAGAGCTCAGATTGTGGGGCTGTTTTTTTAAAGTGGGAGATGTCACTGTCTGTCTAAACTTAGAATCTTAGGATAAGAGGGCAAATGCTAATAAACTCTTTGGGGCCCTTGATTCCCAGTGTTTGGAGAGGCAAATTTGAGAGTTAAAGGTGCCCTGAGGAACTGCAAATGGAAGTGGAAAGGAGGGGTAGTGTGTGCTCAGATTGCTGTGAAATGAATAATAGAGGAAGCAAAGTGTTAACTGTTTCCAGCTACCTGGGGAAAATTAATTGCTTAAGTAATTAAGGTGGCTTTGAAAGCTTAATTTTCCCAATTTTTAGGTGTGTTCACCAATTACACACTTATTTAAAAATGAAATGCCATCAATCTGAATATGCAGTGTAATTTTTGAAAGACAAGTCTTTGCGCCAACTCTCTTAACAGTGTGACTTATGTTGAGACTTTCAGCATCCAATGGTTTACTAGTCCCTTTTGATAAATAAATATCCCTGTGAGGACGTTCAAACTTACAGATTATTATTATTCCCTCAAAGATTTGAAGAAGGGTGTTCACATAGAAATCTAGAATTAAAGGGAAGACGTGTAAGAAAGATTGTGTACTAGTGAGTGAAAATTAGCTAACAAAAACACGGTCTCCCTTGGGTGTAGGCGTGGAGGTGAGAATTGCCGCAGGGAGTAGGCGAGTGCTAGACAATCTGGGCGCCAAGGCCACCTTAAGTCTAACAGGCAGCTCTTTGCAAACGACTTTCACCTTGGGAGCAAGTTAGGCTCTAGGCCAGTGGCCAGGTGCAGGCTATGCGGCTGCCGCGCGGGGTGGGCGGGTTTCCACGTGCGCGAGCCCTTTAAGGCCCCGCGAAGCGGAAGCGCGTGGGTACTACGTGGCCTCACTGGCGCCCTTGGCCCAGCGGCCATGGACTTGGGCGCAGAGGAGTTTGAGCAGAACCTCCCCTTGCTGCAGGAGCTTGTCCAGGACGCGGACTTTGTGGGTAAGGTACCGGGGACTGCGGGCCGGGTCACCAGAGTGCCTTGGACCAGCTGGAGGACGGGGTAGCGCAGGTGGGATACGGTTGTGGCCAGGCCGCAGGGGGCTCAAAGGGGCCCCTGCCCCTCGGAGGGACAGGCGGACTTCTTACGCCCGCAGGCAGGGGGGCGATAGGCAGCGCTCACATGAGTGTTGAGAGCCCTGATGTCATGGGCCAGACTCCCTGAGGTCCAGGTACAACCCCCATGGTTTGGCTGGTCCTTGCCTCGGTTCCCTCCATTTTCCCTTTTTGCCCCCACCTGGCCTCTTGAACACAAAATGAGCGACGTGCTTAGGCCACCTGTGGCATCCACACCGTGGAGTGGTGTCTGCCCTGTGCTTGGGGACTCCTCTATCTTTTGCCTCCCCCTTAGGTCTGGACATAGAGTTCACTGGCCTTCGTTCTAGCCTTTCCGGACCGCAGCAGATCAGGTAAAGCTAAAACTGTCTTAAAGCCCAAAGAGCTGGCTGGCCTGTGTCCCCCAGCCAGACCAACATGATTCTCAGCAGCGCAGGGTTGGCTTCCCTGGGTGGGGCAGGTCAGTTTGTGTGGGCTGCTCCCACCTGTGGGACCTAGTATTAGTCCCCCAATGCTGGTAGTATTCCCTAGTTTCTGTAATAAGGAAAAGATGTGACCCCTGGTTGAGTGGCCAAGTGAGCCTGCTCTGGAGCCCTAGTATCTTGACCAGATCTTGTTGATGCCTGTATTTTTAGTCTTTTTGATTTGCCATCCGAGTGGTACCTAAAGACCCGCCAGAGTGTTCAGCAGTTTACCATCTGTCAGATTGGTGAGTCTGATGGTCATCTCTTCGTTATGAATCTGTTAAGAAGATATTGTCTTTGTTTCCTATTCGTGAAAATGGTTTTGACACTTTTTCAAACACATTGGCTATCATTTTTGTATTCTTCTGTTTTTGGCTTTAGATCCAACACTTTGGAGTAAGCAGAAAATTTAACCAACATTAAGTAACAATTACTGTTGTTCCTTGTTCTGTCGTCTTTCAACTAAAAATGGGTGTATGATTTTGGACATACGATTATATTACAAATATTTTGTTTTTCCCTTTGTTTTTACTTCATGGAGTTTGGGGTTTGGAGATCTATATATCAGCACATACAAACATGTTCATTTTTTAACAGCACATAGTATTACAAACTGTCAATGTATCTGTTAATCTGCTAATAAGCATGTTTCAATTACATTTGTGTACAATTAGACTTGCACTGACTCTTGGTGTTTATATATATGATCCTGTACTTTTGTGAGTATATGCATCTGAGATACTTCTAGCAGTGGAATTGCAAAGTTACAGTATGTGTTAGAATATTGAATTGTTGATATGTAGTTTAGCATTGTGTTGTAAATGCAGGGCTCTACCACTGAGCTACGCCCCCAGCCCTCACTAAGTTTTCGTTGTTTACACTAATAGCGAATTTGTCTGTTTCTCCAACACTGGGTATTATCAGTCTGCAACTTTTGTCCACCTGGTAAAGGAAAAATGATTGTTAGTCTGTTTACATTTTATGATAGAAATGTTGACAACCTTTTCTATAAAGGGCTCCATAGAGAATATTTTTGATCTTGCAGACAATGTGATTTCTATTACAGCTCTTCATTCTTACCGTTGTAATGTGAAATCAGCTGTACATAACATATAAACCCATGAGCATGGCCCTATTCCTGTAAAAAGCTTTTTCATAAAAGCAGACTTTGGGCCAGAGTCTACTGACTAGCTTTCACTATGGATGACGCCGGACATCTGTTTTCCTCCCTACCCTTGTCCTTTGCTGTTTCTCCTAACTGTGTGATCTCTGAAAAGTGTGGACAACAGCTCTTGGTGCTCTTGGTTATGTTCTGTTGTTCACCCCCCAACACACACACCATTTTGAATTTTTCTTTTATCTTTTGGTAATAGTCATTTAAAAGCTGTTAAATTTATAAGACTTTATGGGTTTTGGTGTTTCCTCTGGTTAGTTTTAAAAGTATGAAAATTGATTTTTTTTTTTTTTAAATACCGTTTGAAGAACAGGCCACAGTTGTCTTTTTTGTGGGGGGATAGGAGGATATTGGGGACTTAATCCAAGGGCATTTAACCACTCAGCTACCTCCCCAACCCTTTTTATTTTTTATTGTGAGATATGAGACAGGGCCTCACTAAGTTGCTGAGTCTGATTTTGAACTTGGGATCTTCCTGCCTCAGCCTCCTGAGCTGCTGGGATTACAGGCGTGTCATTGCACCCAGCTTCAACTCTTGTCTTGTTCTGTAAGGATCTTATTCTGTCCTGCCACCCACATAGTATCTGTGGATGCAAAGTCCTGTTGGAAATGTTTGGGCTCTGTGTTCACCTCGGGGAGCTTATTCTTAGTATTCATTACTTCCGCTATTGTTCTTCTAGGATTGTCTGTATTTTCCAGTATCGAAGGAGAGTTCAACAAGTACGTATAAAGAGCTTTTGCAAAGCAGGGCTTTTGCCCATCTGTGTTCTACACCTATCTCCCCTTCATATTCTTCCCTGGTGTCTGAGTCATTTTGTCCTGGACACTCTGTTTTCTCCTACTTCTGGCTCTTCCACTGGCTCTGTCCTCTGCAGATTCCAGCTTACCTCCAGGTCTCTCCTGAAAGGTACCATTTCTGCAAGGCCTTTTCCGCCACCCCTGCCTGGTACCTTATACGCTCCTGTCCACTTTTCCATTGTCTCTTGTGCACCTTCACGAGAGCAGTTAATACTGTGTGTGTTGTGATGCTGTCTGAACTGCCTGCTAGCTCACAGGTACTAGCTGGTTCCAGGAGTGTGGAAGGGTACTCCCTTATGGGGTGGCTCCTGCCCAGAGCAGCTGTGGGACTGAGCTGCCTCTAAGCAGCAGCCCTGGTGGTTTTATTGAGAGCCTGTTTCTGTAGCAGACCATTTTCTGAGGGTAGGATCACTGCTTTTGTTCTTTGGCTCTCAGTGCCAGGCAAAGTATCTGAAGCACAGTTTTTCCTAAATGGATGAAAGAAAGAATCTACTCTGAAGCTGTTTAATGAGTCAGGGTGTGTGTGTGTGTGTGTGTGTGTGTGTGTGTGTGTGTGTGTGTGTTTGTTTTAAATGCCTTTGATTTTTTCTTATGTTTTTATAGGTATGTAGCCCATTCATATAACTTCTTTCTCTTCCCTACAACATTTGGGATTTTGGATTCGGAATTCTCTTTCCAGGCTTCTAGTGTTCAGTTTTTGAATCAGTACGGCTTCAACTATAACAAGGTATGGCATTGGAGGAGGGGAGGAGGCAGGTTGAAAGTCCAGTCTAATGGGCCCACAGGACCCTTTTTCTCTTCCCGTTTTTCCCGTGAGATACTAAGTAGGACTGACCCTGCTTATCTCCTGAGATGGGGTGCATTTGGGGTGGTGTGGTTATACACTCCTCTTCTTCCCCTTCCCCTTCCTTTGTGGCTTGGAGTATGACTCTCACTAGTTTCTGTTTTCTGTGTTTAGTTTCTTAAAAATGGAATCCCATATATGAATGAAGAACAGGAGAAAAAAATTAAGCACAACATCCTGACAGGGAACTGGAGAGTTCGCAGGTAGGGTGTGTTTCTTTAAGTGCCTCTTGGTTTCTTTGCTGCTGTGTCCTGTGGGGTCTGTGTTGGTTCCAGGAGTGTGGTGACCTTGAACCATCCATATGTCGTGGTAATTGCATCAGCCTCCTTTGCTCAGCCAGACGGTGTGGCTGCTGGTGCTGGGGATCCTCCACCTGAGGTGAGGAAAGGCAATCCTGTTTCCACCCCACTTTCAGCTCCTGTATAAATCCCTCACTGCTTCAAGCGTGATTTTTAGCATTTAACAATGAAAAAAACAGAAGCTGACTCAGTTTGCTAACTCATCAAGATTTCTATTCTAGTGCCAGAGGGGAAACTCCGCTCTGTTGGACTTGCTGTGAGATGGTCTGTTAGTGTCCAGTGTGCTCTGAGGGCTTTTCAAGGCTAACTCGCACATAGCCCTGACTGTGCCAGTCATTCCAGGCACTGACTCTGGACTTGGGCCTCCTTGGCTTGGCTGTGTCCCCCAGCATGCCTGACCCTGCTATGTGCGAGACTTGTATGACATTCCTCAGCCCCATCAAGGGCAAGATTGCTACCTCTTTGCTTTGGCTCCTGTGCCTGTCCCACACATTGCAGCCTCATACTGTCTGCACTATGGTCAGGAGTGACCAGAGCGAAGACAGTAGCACAGGGTGGCAATAGAACTGGCCACCCGGGTTCTTGTCGGTCAGTACTGTTGACCAGTTGTTGAACGAGTCATTTAAGCCTTTTGGGCTTTAGATTCTTCACCTTTAGCAAGAAGGGCCGTCAACTCGACAGCTTATAACTCTGAAATATGATGACTGCATGGTCCAGGTAATGATCTTGTATAATGTTGGAGAGCTTCTTTGTTGTTTTGTTATTGTCCTTGTTCCTGATTTTAATATAAAAATGTAGGATTTCATAAGGGACAAAAAATTTTTTTTCTTAAATCTGACATTTTCAAATGTTGGAGAAAGAGCTTTCCTCACTTCAAAGAACACTATGTCCTTACATTTCTAACAAGGAGCCGAGGGTTTGCCAAAGTCCTCCTTTTCCTTATGCTCCCAGCGGGTGTTCCTGCCTCTGGAAGCCTTACAAAGAAGACAGTCCTGACAGTGGCCTTTAGTGCTGGTTAGAGCCACTTCCTTTCCTAGTGTGACAGGTGGGGATCACATGAGCTCTAGGAACCTGTGAAGAACGAAGGCCAGGAAGTTGCCTGCCTTCTGCATGAAAAGATGGAAGAACAGTGATCTTGTTTTGGTCTTTTGTTGTTGTTGTTTGGTACTGGGGATCAAACTCAGGGGCACTTAACCACTGAGCCACATCCCATCCCTTTTTTTTTTACTATTTATTTAGTTGTAGTTGGACACAGTACTTGTACTTTATTTTTTATGTGGTGTTGAGAATCAAACCCAGGGCCTCGCACATGCTAGGCGAGCATTCTACCTCTGAGCCACAACCCCAGCACCCCCCCCCCCCCACCCCTTTTTTTATTTTTTTTTGGGGTGGGGCCTTGCCAAATCGCTGAGGCTTTGAACTCATGATCCTCCTGCTCTAGCCTCCCAAGCTGCTGGGTTTGTAGGCTCAATCAATCAACTGCATCCAGCTCATCTGTTTTCTTCGTGAGCTCATGCTGTGAAAACCAGGAGCTCCTGAAACCTCTTGTTAACGTAGTCTTGTGATTCTGGCATGGTTTTCTCCAACATTTGCATTTTCATGTGCCCATTTTCAGCTCTCTGGATAAAGACCAGATCAAGGTGGTGATTGATGAGGTGACGCGATGGCTGGACCTAGCTGAGGAAGGTGACCGGATGACTCTGCCTGGTATTGCTGGTAGGCAAGAGGCTGCTCCTTCCATACTGGGAGTGTTGGGTCATGGTTACATGACAGGAGTTGGGGGACCCATTCTCTTTCCCAAAGATCCTGGTCCCAAATGCCTCTCAACTGAGTCTAATGCATTTACTTAGTAGGTGCCCAGTCCTTGGGGTCAGATAAAGCTTCAGAATTCAGAAATCAGAAAGTCGGAAAGCTTTTCAACCAACATTGAATTTCAAGGCCAAGGAAGTCACGTTTCAGAGCCATCTTGTTCATCCTGTCCTGAGTGCTCTATATCAAAGTGTATATCACTTGACTATGACTTGCTGTTTTTGTACCATTTTTTTCCCTGGTGCCATAGCAGTGGGGGTTACACCTGCCAGCACCTCAGCACAGATTAAGGCAGGAGCCCCACATCATGCTTTCTTTACTGCCACTTGCTCTCAGTGCAAAAAGCCGATTTGGCTTAAGGAGCTGCTTGGTGAGGAAGTGGTATGAGTGCTAACTAAGTCTCAGCCTTTTTTTAGGTCATCTGTAAGTATCCTGTGTGAACATAGCATGCAGAAAAGCACTCTGCAGCTGTGCTGGTGCATACCCCCACCCAGTGGTGGGGCGAAGGAAGAACATTTGAAGAGCATTTGAGTGTGGGTGTTTTTTTTGTTTGTTTGTTTGTTTGTTTTTATAAAGAGCTGGATCTGCACCCCGCCCCCAAGTGAATATCATTTTCTTTCTAGAAAGATCTGACTGTTTGAACTTGGGATTTTGCATTTATTTTCCAAATGGAAAAAGTAAGCCTGACCCTTTAGGGAAAATAATGCATAGTAATAACAGTAGTTATGAAAGATAACCAAGTTTTGAACTTGCATCTGCTACCATAAGCTTGACAGCTTCCCAACACTGAGAACTTTCTGATAAGAATAGTGGTCAGATAGTCAGTTATACAGGTATCTTTTGTGGTTATTGTTAGTGAAATGTGTGAATATTTGGAGGATCTACATGACTCTGCAAACTAGTGTTTCCAGATAACCAATGCATGATGTTACAAAATCATGAATAAAAAATGCATTCCAGGGGCTAAAGTTGTGGCTCAGTGGTAGAGCACTTGCCTAGCACATGTGAGGCACTGGGTTTGATCTTTGGCACCATAAAAATAAATGAAGGTATTATTTACTTACAACTAAAAAAAAATTTTTTTTTAAATGCATTCAAGGTGTGAAATAGGCCAGAGGATTTTAAAGTAATAGTGCTAGAAAGTCCATTAACAGTGGTTTCAGATTCTTTGTGACAGCTGAGGTTTTAAGAAGTTACCACATGCCAAAATCTTATTTTGTGTTATAGAACACCCAGAGTCATCTGACAAGGCTGGTAACACTTCATTGTGTCAGAGACTGGGATTTTGTCACATTTCAGTAACACATCATGAGTGCAAAAGCAGATACAATTGCAGCCAAATATTAAAGTTTGCAAAAATGTAAAATAATATATCATGATGTTTTTTGTCTTGTAAAGTAGTTCTTTTTATGAATTTTACTTTTGTTATCGTATATGGGGTTTTTTGTTTTAGAAGAAGATTCCATGTTTTTTTGATTTGAAGGTTTTAATTTCTAAAATAGTTAACATCAGTGGCTGTATCCAACAAAAACAAACTTTGGTGTCTCCAACTTAAAATCATCTTTGAGGTCAAAAACTTTGAAAATGCTGCCCTAGAATGTCACCACAGGCCCTGCATGCTCTGTCATGTGGCTGGTGAGCTTAGGCACCTCTACGACCTGCCTTTTGCTGTGATCCACAGCTCCAATCTCTGCATTTCTTTTCTTCTTGGGGCTCTTTTTTTTTTTTTTTAAGTTGTAGACGGACACAGTACCTTTATTTATATCTGGTGCTTAGGACTGAACCCAGGGCCTCACACATGCTAGGCAAGTGCTCTGCACTGAGCCACCACCCCAGCCCGTCTTCTTCTTGGGGCTCTTGAAGAGGAAGGGCTGTGCCACTCAGTCGTGCCTTGTGTTTGCCCCACAGGGTTCCAGGCCTTTGAGGTCCAATTGGTGCTGAGGCAGGCCCTCCCCAATATCTGGACGATGCTGAAAGATCAGGGCGTGAGTCCTCCCTTGAAATGGGCTGTCCTTAGCGGCTTCATTGCCTCTCTCACCCACCCAAATCCAGCCTCTCTAAAAGGCTTGTCCCCTGCTTTGTTATTTGTCTATTTTTCATGTCAGGTGGTGGTGAAGAAGGTGAGTCGGCAGCATCGCTGGTATCTTGAGAACGCCTCTTGTGATCGAGCCAGTTGTTGGAAGGAGCAGATTCTCCTCTCTGCGAGGGGTTTTTCTGTTTTTTTCCAGATGCTGGTGAAAGCCCAGAAGGTAGGAAAAAAATCTCTTTTCTTGGACTTTCACAGTCTTCTGTATTTCTGGCCCAGATGTTGAAGGATTCTTCAACAGTAAAATCTGATTGCTTAAGACGAGTCCTTTCTTCTCCTTGATAACTGGCTTCCTTGACCTAACCAAATCGTGATGGGTTAGTGTGGGGAAAGGCTCTCCACAAGAAATCACTTTTTTTTTTTTTTGCCTCTTCCTGTAATACAGGGATTCCAGTAATTACCTAAAGTTTCTTGAAAGAGCTGTCTGTTTCACAGCAGGGAACCCTGCTTAAGTCCTTCCTTGAGTCTGTCCTGCCCCACCCTCCACTGACCTCCCCCAAGCAGTCCCACTCCCTCACATAAGACAGAGAGGATGAAACAGTCCCGTGACAACAATGGCAGTGGGTTCCAAAGATGCATCCTTCACAAGAATCTTAGTCTTTGGTGTCTGTCTTTATAATTTTTAAAATTTCATTTCTCTCACCTGCTGATCTACTCCAAGTAGCCCTTAGTGGGGCATAATATGATGATGGATCTGTTGCATCTCCATGAGAAGTTCTTCAGACCTCTCCCAGGTAGGGACAGACTTGTCATCTCCTTCCTGTATCTCTATTTGCCACCTGGCCTGTACTTCCCAGTGTCGACAGAGGTGCAGCAGGGTCCAGTCCTCAGATCTGTTACCATCTTCTCAGAGACAAGACCAGAGACTTCCTCAAGGAAGAAAAACCTAAATTTGCATTGGTATCCTTCCTCTATTCCTGAAGATGCTCAGGCCCATTGTGTAAAATTTGGCAAAATCAGAAATCATATTTAATCATATACATTTGGTCTTGTATTTGGAAGTATTATGTCATTAAAAACCTACTAAACCTATTGCATGACATTTTTAATGTCATGTGATGCTGTCTTGTGGCTGTGTCGCCTTTCCGTGGTTGATCTGAGCATATTGAGAGAATTAGAGGAGGATTAGGGGTAAAATTAACAGTGTACACTCAACAAAAACCTGAGCAAACTGTGGGACAAAGTATTCACGGCAGGGAGACAGTGCAGGAAAGGAAGAGGCACCTGGCTGCCACAGCACCCCTCATGAGGGCGCCCCAGGGTGGTGCAGGCAGGCCTGTGGGGAGCTTGTGCTATGGGGTGGGGACAGCGGGAAGCGGTGATCAGCCGCAGGTGCCCCATCACAGCACGTAGGAGTCCTGTGGAGACAGGGGCATGAGACCTGAGGGAGGAGGACTGAAGTGGCTGCCCTGTGGACTAGGGGATGTGGTGGCAGGAAGAGGGCTACAGGGCCCCTCGTTTGGGAGGTCTGTGTTGTGGGTTTGGTTTGTTTGCACTAAACCTCTTTTAAACTACATACAGGTATAACTTTGAATTTGTCAGTTAATAGTTTTTCCCCCTTTATCAGTATACTTCTCATCAAATGACTTTTAGTTGATTTTTCTTGGATATTCTCTGAACAGTCATTTATAAATGATTTTTCTTTTATCTGCCTTTCCAAAACACCATTTCTCCCTCTCTTATCCCATTGGCTAGAGCTTCTTAAACTGCATTAGAGGATATCTTGAGTTTAGAACCTCTTGTTCTTTACATCTGTAAGTTGTGAGGGTAGCTTGAGATTAAAAAATCCTCAATGGTCAGAAATAAGGTGGTTTTCAATTTCTATTTTGTTTCATTTGCTTTACTAGTTGGCGTTGGTGGCAAGCTAGGTTAGATGGTGGTTCCTTCCCATTTTACCAACAAACTCACTCCCTTTTCACTCCCTGGATCTTTCCCCTCAGAAAGCTATGATCAGTTTAAGCAGAATATCCATGACCTGTTTCCTGTTCTCATTGATACCAAGAATGTGACAAAGGATATCTGGAAGGTAATGAATGAAATTGCTTGATTAAAAGATAATTGTGTCCACACTAATAACACTTTTCAAAAACTCTCCTTGAACTCTTATAAAATCGGTAAAAATCAGTATCCGTTTCCTTTCATATTTTGTCACCTATGGTTGTTCATCATACTAGTTGTCGTTTCTTTCCTTCCCCCATTCAAGCTCCCAGGTTTTGACTCATTTGTATATAATTGGGATGTGTTAGAGTGGACAGTGGAATGATTTGATTCAGAACCTGATCTATTTTTCATAAACATTTACAACATAATCAAAGTACATGAGGGTAGAAGGGTCCCCTCTCAAAGTCTTGAGAAACCATCTTTGCTGAGTGCGAGATCATGGCTTCTCTGGGGACAGTGAGTTGGAATCACTAGGTAAGTTACAAACTGCCTCCAGCCCCTGTTAGCTTCCTGTGTGGTCTGCAATGGGGCCAGGCCGTTTTGAAAGCTCCCCAGGTGACTGTCATGTAGTCTGGGTTGTTGTCCTCTACACACGGAAAATGGAAGGGCCCAACTGTTTTAAATGCTTCTTAGAAATTGAGGACCAGAGAAAGGGGATTGGATCAATGTCTTGAAGCCTTAGGTTCCAGGTGTGGTGAAAACTGAGGCAGGAGGATCGGAAGTTCAAGGCCAGTCTGGGCAAATTGAGTGAGACCCTACCTCAAAAACAAAAAGGCCCAGGCGTGGTGGCATATACCCTAATCCCAGTGACTCAAAAGGCTGAGGCAGGAGGATTGTAAATTTAAGGCAGCCTAAGCAACTTGGGACCCATCTCAAATAATAACAGGTCTGTGAGTGTAATCGGTAAAGCCCCCCTGGGTTCAGTTCCACTTTAAGGGGGGGGGAATCAAGCCTTAGGGTGATAGATTGAGCCATTCAAGAAAAAAAGCCACAAAAATAGGAGTGGGTCCCTTGGTCCCTCTTTGTCCAGAAAGGCTCTGGTTTTTGTACTTCATGGGTTTCTAGCTTTGATGAACTCCTAGGACTCCGAGGCCGGGCACTCCCCGTCCCTCCCTCTCGTTCTAGAATGCCTGGTATTCCACAAGTGTCCAGGCCTCCTTGGAGCGCCTCGGGTTCCGTATTTCTAGACCCCTATGCTCATCTGCGGAGGGAGGTGGTGTGAGGTGGTGGTGGGCAGTCGTTCCCAGCCTGGACTGTGGGAAGCCCTCTGGGGAACCCCAGGATCTGGGTCCCTGGCCCTGCACTTGAGGAGTAAAGGCAGTCGGGACGCTGGAGGAGAAGGAAGAGGTGGTGGGCATGGGGTTCTCCAGGACACTTCGGCGGCTACTGGACAAGACCTGAAGCAGATGGACGACAGCACAGTGTTCTTTTTCTCGCTGATTTGTTCTCCACAATTGCAGGAACTGCATTTCCCACGGGTCTCCAATCTCTCGGAGGTGTACGAAGTGCTGAGCAGGTGAGGGTCGCTTCTGGAGCTGGTTCTGGGGCAGGGGGCCTGTGGCTGCAGCTGCTGTGTGGCTCAAGATCCCTCGGGTCTGGTGGGTGCTCTTCCCCGCCATGGCACCGCTTCCTGGAGCTGGTGTCCCCTCCAGGTCCTGCTGCCTCAGCCCGTCTCTGCAGCCCTCTTGGCCCCCGTTTCCAAGAATAAGGCCAAAGATGGGAAGAAAGCCCTCAGCCCCTGCCTGCCCTCGGGAGCACTTTTGTTTTGCCATCTTTCTCACGTCTTTCGTCACCAGCAGACCCAAGCCCTTCCATGTGTGCCGGGCAGCCGGGGCTTGCTTCCCCGCAGTGGCCCTCTGCCCTTCTGGTTCCCTCCTCTCTGCAGCCTCCCTCTCACCTGTCCTTCCCTTTAGCCTCTCCCTCGGTTTCTCTGGTTTCTCTCGTTTCTCTCGGCATTAGCACTTAAAACTCAAAATCAAACAGAATCCCTTTTGTTTGGCTATTGTTGTGACCGCATGGTGCCCTCCATGCCTGTAGTGGAAAACATGGGGTGGGGCAGGTGGAGTGGGAGGGTCGTCACCTCTTCACTCTAGGAGAGTCAGTGCTGGGGGGCCGCCTGCAGCGCACCCGTGTTACTCAGAGATGTGGCACCTGTTTTCTGTGCAGCGAGTCCCTTCAGAGGCCTCCACCTTCCCTCTGTCCAGTGCTGTCAGGGGTTCTCTCACATGACGCCTTACCCTGCGCTGGCTTAGCCTACCAGGGCAGGCTCGCCTCTGGTCTAAGATGGTAGAATGGTGTACGTAAGGGACAAGACGTGGCATATAGTCCTGGACAGGTTTTTGCTTCACTGGGGCATTTGAGACCCTTGTCCTCTCCCTCCTCCTTCTGGCTCATATCCCCTCCTGGATTCTCTTTTCTGGCTGGGGTGGGTGCACATGTGCAGGGGTGGACGTATGGGTGCATGTGGATTTTTCACCCTTTCCATGAGCATTACTCAGTTCATTTCATGGGCTCCATCTCCTCTTGCTCAGTCCCAGGGGGGCCTCACCTACTCCCTTTCTGCAGCTGCTGCCACCTGGGTGCACTGTGGTCTGGACCTCCTCAGCCTTGGGGCATTTCATGTACCAGCTGCCTTCTTGACCTGCAGCACCTTCGATTTCACATTGATCTCAGTTCCTCCATCTCATCCCTGTGCCTGGGTATCTGCTGTCTTTGTAGCACCAGACATGATACTGGGAGCCTGTGTGAAGAGGTGGGACCAGAGAGGGTTTTGTTTTGTCTTCTAATACACAGGCTCTGGTTCTAGTCTTCCTTGGCTTAAATCCCAGTTTAACCAGCCTCACTGGTTTTTGCAAGTTACCTGCAGAAAATTGTTGAATCTCCCTGTGCCTTAGTTTCACCTCATAAGGTCTTTGTGAGGATTAAATGAGCTTATCCACCACAGGGACTAGGACACTGCTTCGCCCTCACTCCATGTTTCTTAAATGCTGTCCATCATTGTTAACGGTCTGTCTAATCCTGTAGTGTGGGCATGGTCGCCATGCCTGCCTTACAGGCAAGGAAGTTGGGCTCAGAGAGAGGAAGCACACAGGTTCTGAAAGACGGGTGGAATGGTTTCCTCACTGTTGGATGCTGTCGCTGCTTTCACACCCCAGAGCCGAGTGTCCCAGAGCTGGGCCGCCTGTGTCTTATCAGCCAAGTCTAGTTGATGTTGCTCCATAAATCTTCTTAAAGTCTCCCCTTCTTCATTCTCGGGGTCACTGCTGTTGTTCAGGCCTTTATTTTCCATTCTAATTGTGGTGGTAGCCCTTACTGGTATCCCAGCCTGTGGCCTGCCCCACTTCATTTCCCATACCACCACTTGCGTGGTCTTTAAAATCACAGGTTGAGTTCTGTTCGTGGCTGAGTCTCTGGCACTCACTGAGGCCCCCACGTGTCATTGAGCTCCTTCTCTGCCTGGCCCTGCCTCCACTGTGGGCCTTGGCCACGCTTTGCACAGTGTGTCCTGGTTCTGTGCCCCTGGCTCTGCCTCCTCTCTCCTGCACCACTGCCTTCCTAATGCCTCTAGGCCAAAGTGGCCCAGAGTGCACCGTCTACTCCTCGGCATTGCCTTTATGGGGGGAAGACGTGATTGTCTCTGTACTCGTTACTCAGGCCACTAGATGGCAAGCTCCAGAGGGCAGAGATGGCTCCTCTGTTTCTCTGGGCTGGGTTCAGGCTAAGCGTTTCCTGAATGCCAAGGATGATCCAGTTGGAGCCTCTGACACTGCTGATCTGTCACCTGTCCTGTTGCCTAGTTACCAAGACCTTATTTGTATATGACTAGACCTATGTTTAAGACACGTGTTGAAGACACATTTATAATGTCAGGGACTTGGGGGAACAAGAAAGAATTTTCAGCAAGTTGTTCTTTATCCTATTTTTAATTCTCTAATAGTAACTTGAATCCCACCAAGAATTCTGGACCAGTGATTGTTCATGCGAGCAAATGTGAAAAATATGGTATGTTCCCACGAGCCCCGGCTCCTTGCACAGGAGTGCTGTGGGCAGAGCTGAGGCTTTTCCTGGACCTTGGTCTCCCAGGCTGGAGGCTGTGGAGTTCAGGGTTTCCTTCTCTGTCTTCCTGTCCTGCTCTGCATAACTCCTGCCCTCAAGATGTGTGATCCCAGAAAGCCTCAGGGCTGTCTGTTTCCCCCTTGACGTGGGCTCCTGGCTTTGTCCATGCGGGGAGGACCAGAGGGAAGCTGGTTTGTGAGCTGGGAGAAGGCACCCATGGTAGCTGGTGGTCGAGCATGCTGTGGTTGCTGTGGATGTGAGGGTGGTGGGGGTGGAGAGACTTCTTTCCCAAGTGCATTGCTAACGGTTTACTTGATCTCTCTCCTTATTATGGAAAAATGCTTCAGCCCAGAACAAGTGCCCCCATGAAGCAGCATATGATGCCTTTCTTTGTGGGTCAGGTAAGAGTTGCCGTCCTTCCAGAGGAGACTGGCCTTGGTGGGTGTCCTCCCTAGGTTCTCGTTTATATCATGCTGGTTTGCATAGAAAGTGTGAGTTTGCATATTTCAAGAAGGCCTGTGACATCTCTAGCTTTTTTTTTTCTTTTCTTTTTTCCAGTTCTTCTGAAAGTGGCTCACCTGCTCCTTCAGAGGGTGCACAGGTGAGTGTTCTTTCCCTCCAGTCACTCAGCAGTCAGGAAACCAAGACGTCCCAGGGCCCCCAAAGAGGATGAATACTGCAGCCCTGGGAGAGTAGACATCCAGCCTCTGCCTGTGTGGCAGCCAACAGAGTGGCCTTGCTTCACAGAAGCCCTTTCCTGCCACCCCTGCCTCCTGCCTGGGTGGGGCTGCTCCTGCCCCCCTCTTGGCACTGGGAGAAGTAATGTCCGGGGACCAAGGGTTTGACTTGGGTTCTGTTGTCTGCTTCAGTGCTTCCCAGCTTGGTGTGTTTGCTGTTACCCCATGAAACTCCAAATTGGAATTTTGAACGTGTTTCCTGTGACAGCAGCATCCCCCATGCCTCCAGCACTGGGCACAACAGGGGCACCAAGTGCATGCTGTACATGTGCCTTCCATAGACCCAGGCTGGGGACCCTTGCTCTAGGACTTGGCAGGCCCAGCGAAGGAGCTAATCAGACTCTGGCCTGCTCCTCAGGACTGACTTAGCAAGGCAACTTTGATCTGTGCTCGGTGAACTACCTATACTTGTCCAGTTTTGGCAATGGATGTGATAAATACAAATGTTCTATGTCATGTTGATGTGAGTTTTATAACTTAAATGAGAAATCTACCAGTCTGGAGTCTCGTAATGCATCAAAGAATTTTTTCTGAAATTTTTTTTTCTTTTTCTAAAAATTAGAAAGGCCCTCCTCCTCCCCCCCACCTCCACGGGGGGAAAAATTCCACCAGCCCATCTTCCTCCTTCCTGTAGTTTGGCAATGTCTGAGTGCCCAAGTGCCCACTGGCAGATGGTGTGTGCTGGGCAGGAAGAAGCTTCCAGCAGAAGGGCGGGCACCTTTCAATTCCGCTGAAAGCTCTCCTCTATCTAGAGAAGCCTCTGGCTGTCCTGCCTGGTTCCCGACCAGTGCTCCCCCAGGGCCTGCCACAAGGGCTGGTCCCTGGAAGGGTGGGGCTGATGGGTCCAGTAAAGTCAGGCGAGGGATGGCCATTTGGGGTCAAGTAGAGTCGTGCTGAGGAATGATGAAGTGGAGCCCCCTCACAGGCTTCTCGCTGTCTGAGCCTGCCTCCAGTGCTGGTCAGGGAGCGTCACAAAACTGTCACAGAGGGTGACCCTCCAGAAGCTCCGCTCTTTCTGGAGAGGGCTCTTTCAAATCAGCCAGTTGGGAAGCCCACTGACATGGGCACGAGTCTTGGGGGTGGAGAATTGCCCAAGGCAGCCGTTTCCCTGTGTCGCCAGATCCTTGGCTATGGCGAGGACAGTGGATAAGTGCATTCCTGAGCGCTTTGGCTTCTCTGTCCGTGCAGCAGCGGACCCATGCCTGAGCCATCTTTCCCTCAGTACCTCGACGTGCTGGCTCCTTACGTGAACCAAGTCAATCTTATCCGAGCTGGGGTCCCTAAAATCGTGAGTAGGTTTCATTTTGCTCCCTTACCTTGCTCAGAGACTCCCTGTGGAGGTGGCCTGGTGTTGCTGGGCTGAAGGGGTGCGAGAGCTGGACAGGGCATTTACACCCCTGTGAAGCTGCTTGTTTCTTGTGTTTTTCTGCCCAAACCCACGTGTTCTCGCTCCACCCATCCTTCTCTTTGCCTGCTCCCAGCCCCAAACAGTCTTTCCTAGTCCCTTCAAACATTATCTAATTGCATAAGATGTCAGCGAAAATTGTGGGAAATCTTTTGTTCTTCATGTTTCTTAGAATTTTTCTGGCCCAGATTATCCCAGTATCCGGCCTCCCATCCTCATCCTCACTGTTAGGAGATGGCCCGGGGCCAGTGAGCAGCAAGTCTACCGTGAGTTCCAGAATCTGTGCAAGTTCGATGTCAGGCGACTCACTCGAAGCCAGTTCCTGCTCCTGACCAATAAGTTTAAGGAGTAGGTGCCCAGGCCCCAAGTCCCTCCTCTCTCCCCATGTCATCCTTTTTGCCTCCCCCTGCTTCAGGCCTAAGAGCAGTCCCTGTGGCCGCACAGTGTAGATGACCTTGGCAAACTTCTTTTGGCAGTGCCCGCAGTATCCTGAAGGAGTACAGGTGCCACCCGACCCTGCAGGTCTCCCTATACCGGTACTGGAGACATTCCCCCAACATCAACTGCGTGTTACAGTAAGTGGCAGGCTGGAGGCTGCTTTTCTGCCTGTGGCCCCATTGGGTCTGACTCAGCTCAGCTCGCTCACTGGTGAGGGCCGTTAGGGAGTTGCTGACAAGTGCAGTGAACTGTGGGTCACTTGGTGTTCTACAGGTGCTGGAGCATCTGCAGTGTTGGGCACTGTTGGTCCTAGGGCTTCGTGAGTGGGTAAAACAAAAGCCCTGCTCTCGCAGAGCTCCGTACTAAAGGGCAGTAATCAGTGAGTGTACTAACCAGAGGACCTTGTGATGTGTCAGTTGGCAAGTGCTTATTAAAAATGAGAGAAGAGCGGGTCTGGCAGGTCTGAGGGGTACTGTTCAAAGGAGATGATGGAGGATGGGTCGTGTTAAAAACTCAAGGATGTCAGGGTGAGCCAGGGGGGTGCTCAGGACAGTGCAGGGCAGGGTCCTTGAGTTGGGGAGGCACCTCACCGAGGGCCGATGAAGCCACTGTAAGCTGACGTAGGCAAACGAGGATGGACGAGGCAAGGAGGAACTGGGTCCTGTCTGAGTGGGCATAGTAAGGGCCACTTGGAGGAATTGAGGATCACTTGGGGTTTGGGCAGAGGAAGGGCACCATCCAACTGTCCTCTCTGCTGAGGTAGGCTAGAGAGGAGGCGGAGGGTAGGGGCACCAGGAGGCCAATGTGTCTGTGGTATGGCCCAGCCTGGTGGTAGTGGGGACAGAGAAGGAGCCAGTGGCAGAACCAAGAAGAGCTGTGTGCACTGTTGTGAGGCAGGTTTCTCAGAAAACACACCAAGTCCCCGTTTTGTCCAGATTAAAGAGTATTTAGCCGGCCGGCTGGTGACTGCCCCCCACAGGAGGGGTTATAACTGTCTCTGCAAGGAACAGCCCCAAGGCTGAGTGTTTTAGGATATTTAAAGGCAAAAATCATATCCGGGTTGACATAACTGCAAGCAAGCAGGTACAGAAGCTGAATTGGGCAGTTAGCGAGACAATTCAATGGGTACATTGGTAATGCTCATGGGACTTTTCAGGTTGGTATAGCAGCAGGCAAGCAGAAGTGAAGGGGATCAAAATGACCCTATTTCAGTACACATTAGAGAATGGTTACTAATGTTTAGACAATCAATCTCTGTAGATTGCCCAGGAAAAATGGAAACCAAAGAGAATAATTTGACATTGTATAAGAATTGCTGTTTTGTGTTGTCAAGTATGTTATGCTAAGTAATGGGTACAGGGGTGGGGCCTTCCCATGGCAGAAGCATTTCTTACATGACATGGAGTCTCAGGGTAAAATGGAGTCTGTTTGGTTATTGCCCATATAGCCTGGCCCATAACATGCACAGTCAAGGTTCGCCCTGAGTAACTCGAAAGACAGACTTGCAGTTACTGAAGTTTTACGAGGATTCTGGTGTGCTATATAGGAGCTGGATCTGTAGTGGACAGCACTGCAGAAGAGAAATGGTAGCCTCCCAAACAGCCCTTTGTCCTCCTGCCAACCTCTGATCTAAATCACTAGGGAAGGTGAACTATTTGTATCCCAGAGCCATGGACCCTGAGAGACAGCAGGCAGCTCAGTGTTGGCACCAGGAAGAAAGGAAGGACGTCTGGGGTTGGCGGGAAGAAGGGGGACTCTGCCTGCTACTTTGAGACCTGCCAATGTCACAGAAGAACCAGGCTTCTGACCCAAGTCCTTGTCTTACAGAGTCTGTGGAGTGGTCACTACCTGGGCTCTGCTGGCGTTTCTCCTGGGAAGATCCAGATCCTGAGTGCTGCAAGCCTCTTGGCCTGTGTTCTGTCGCCAGGCTTTCCTGGGGTGTGTGTGTGTGTGTGTTAATATGTGTAAATCATATTCTCTTTGCAGGTGGATTGTATTGTCCTTACTAGAAATTTTGTTATGTTTTGAATGTGAAATTCTATAAATACTGTAGTGATAAATGTGCTATATGCAAAGATTTCTTTGTGGCAAAAGCTGTCCTTCCTTTCTGGAAATGACTGGGAGCGGTCACAGCTGCTGGGGATTTAAGCCAGCACCCTGGGCTGTCTAGAGCAGACATGACAGCTGCACACCAGGTGAACCAGGCTGATTTCCCTGGGAGAAAAATTAACGGCCAACAGGTTGCTGGAAGAATAGCTTAATCACAAAAGAAAAAAAAAGCTTAATCACAAAGGGGGAAAAATAAGCTTGGCAGGGTCAATGTCATGTGCTGGTGACACTTTGGATCAACTTTTTAAATCATTAAGATACTCATTTTGGAGACAAGATTACCCCCAGCCCTGGAACGCACCTTGGGTCGGTCAGTGTGACCAATGCTTTTCCCTGTGGTGCACCCTGCCCACCAGCTCCCAGTCGCTTCCCCCAGAGTGGGGTTCTGCTCAGCCTTGAACTTCAATTCAGCAAAGCCGCCTTCAACTCTAGATGTTTTTTCTAGAAAAAATAAAGCGTGCATGTAGCCAGGAGCTTGGACTTTGCAGCACCCCTGTCCCGAGGGGTGGGAGACACGATTTCGTGGCAGCTTATGATCAGATGACGCCAGTTGTGCCCGCAGGGGCAATTTTACTCCTCATCCCAGTGTCCGAGTGGGAGGCCCAGGATTTTTAAATTTTAATTGAATATCTTTGTTTACCTGAGGAGAGTTCCCCTTCTCTGTGGCCTCTGGGGGCCTGGTGCATCTTGGGCAGTCCACAGAACAGCCAGCAGGGTGCAGTCCATCCACAGTGGCCCTTAGTGACCAGGGGACCCAGTGTTATGCCTACTGTTCCCTGTAGGAAAGGCCGGAGGGAGTGGGGAGGGCCCGGACAGTGTGGCGGGTTTGCAGGTGAAGTTCACTTTGATGCCTGTGATCTGAGCCTCCTACAAGAATGGCGGTGTCCCGAGCTGCCTCCTGTCCTACTGGGGCAGGGCTTGCTGAGCTGCCACCAACCTTGCTGCTCTCTGCTCCGACACCTTCAGCTCTTCATGTCTGTTTTACCATCAGCTGTCCACTAAAACCCACAGACCCGGGGAACCAGGTGCCCTGCCCTGCCCTTAGCTCTGTCTGCCTGTGGCCCTTCTTCCCTTTCAGGATGAGTGGGCTCTGTCGCCCTGCCCACCAGCAGCCCTGTGAGGCCTTACGTGCTCCGGGGCCCAGGCCAGCCTGCACCAACACCTTGCGTCTGCTGACTCTCTGCCCTGAGCCTGGGGGTCACTCTTCTCTCAGATGCCCTCGGTCCTTCGTACGGTGTTGGAGGACTCGGCACCACGGGTTCTGTGCTAGCATGACTCTGAAGCTTCTTGTCCAGCTGGCATCTCTCCTGGCTGCAGGTCACCTGCTGAGCCTTCCTAGAGTGTCCCACAGACATGCCAGACTCCGCCCAGCAGAAGTCCATGCCGCCTTCTCTGATGAAGCCCCAGCTCCTCCCGGTTCCCTGCCCTGCTCTGCTGGTGGTCTGCCCTGGCCCTCTCCACCCAGGCTCGCTCTGCTAGCAGCTGCTGGCTGTGTCTGCACCCTTCACAAGGCCAGGACAGCCAGTACCTTGGCTGTGACAGTCTTGCTGCCTGTTCCTCCCCTCTCTACCATGACCTTCAGGCACAGGCGAGGGGGAAGGCAGACATGGCCATCTCTCCTGCCCACAGTCCTGTGGATTCTATACCAAATCCTTGAGCCCTGAACCTCCAGGACTGGAACCCTGCTGTTTCCTGCTTCTGTGGGCATCTGTTCCTTGGGTTCACAGTTCCTCTTCTGTCTCCCTGGGGCCCTCACTCCCTTGAGTCTCAGATCAGTTAATGACTCGTTATGATACCCAGCTAGGCTGGTGTCCAGGGTCCAGCCTGCTTCTGGGCACCTCACTCCTGCCCCTGCTGAGACACTTGGTACCTTGTGCCCTGGTTGGGCCTACATGGGTGAGTACTTCAGGCGTGGAACCTGCAGGGGTGTCAGTGTCTTCAGGAAGGGGCCTGAGCTTAGATGTTGCTGGAACCTCTGGGCCATGTGTGTGTAGTGTTTTGGGGGGTTATTATTTTTTTGGTACCAGGGATTGAACTTGGGGGCATCTGACCACTAAGCCACATCCCCAGCCCAATTTTGTATTTTATTTAGAAACAGGGTTTTGCTGAGTTGCTTGGCACCTCGTCATTGCTGAGGCTGGCTTTACGCTCACAATCCCCTGTGTCAGCCTCCCGAGTCGCTGGTATTACAGGTGTGCCCGGCTGATTTTCTTTTGACAT